ATATGCACACAAGATAGCTAAGGTAGTTAAACTTCTAATTCCTTTTAATTAATTGAAGGCCGTGGTTTGTGCCTGTACTGTTTGATCAATCTTTCATACCTACACCTTGTAATCTGAGCAAATACATTGAAGATAACAGTATGAAATATACTAACCATTGTTACATTCCTATTCTCTTGTTTTAAAATTCTATACCCTTGGATTTTTTTCTCTCTAAAATTAAAAACAAAATAATTCTATATTGGGACTGTAGAATGACTTTCTTTAAACAAAGACATGTATTTACCCAAGATATTGAATGAGCTGTATTGATTTCTGCTCTTTGAGAGTGTACGATATTTGAATTATTTATTTAATGTTATCTGGGTAAGTTAAAGCTAACTGACATGGTGAGTCCCATGTATTCGGCAGTGAATGAATCTGTTCAGAACCCTCCAAGGGTTGTTGAAGCATCACACTACAGGGCTGTTTACCCTTCTCAAGTACAGCTTGCTTGATTCTTAGCAAACAATACATTGTTTCATTTTTTAAAAAGATCTTGCTTAGAAACTAATTAAAGAAAGCATGCAGGTTTCCTGTACCCGGCCTCGCAGCAGCTCGTAGGCCGTCACCCCCAGGGACCACCAGTCAACAGCAAAGGAGTAGCCTGTTTCCTTTTTGGAAGTGAACATCTCAGGTGCTGAAAAAACATAGAAAAGTTAGGTCAATTTTACTCACTGAGATATTAACAAATCTATTTTCCCAACATGTCCCTCCAAAGGAGAATTACCAGCATAAAAGGTATAAACACTTTTGGATGTTTATTGTCCCTTGCTAGACTGCTGTCAGCAGAAAAAAAGAAATCTAATATCCTTAGCTCTCTCAGTAGCCTCATTTATCAACCAGCACACAGGCATGCACAGGCTGTAACAGACAAACTCTTCTCTTGATTAGACCACGCACTTGTTAAAAATTGGGTCTTACTAGGCTCCAAGTGCATATCCAGCTCTACAGTAAAGAAGGTTAAGAAAATTTGATCTTGATTTGAAAGGTTATGCACTAAAGGATTTCAATTTGTAATTACCAACAAAGCCCAGAATTTGGTACAGCATACACTGGACTGACTCTTCACCTTGGAGTCCCCTGGAAATGAGGGAAACGTTGCCGCCTCCAGCTAGGGGCAAGGGCAGGAGAAGATAGAACAGATGTTCTGAGAAACACAAGGTTACACTACCTCTTTGTATCATCAACACTCGGACATCCTAGCTCTCTGAGTTGGTTTTGAAAGCAGGACCACAGTCAGTTTCAGCCCCAGGGATGACTCTCTACACACTCTTTCAATACTGTGAGGATTGGAATAGGAGAAGGAAACGCACAAGGGTGCATCTTGTCTGCCTGCTCACCATGACATTCCCTACTCTAGCCCTGAGCCTAACAGTCAGACTCCCTGGGCAGCAATCTGTTAAGTGAATAAAGAAATAAATCAAGCCGTAGTTTTGAACTTTAGCTCTGAAGCTGTGCTGTCTGGGTTCAAGTTTTGCCTCTGTCACGTATTACACCCTGGAACCAATCAGGAGGTAGAACATGCTTAGCAAAAGAAGAATAGAAAAGCAACCTTTATAGATTCACAAAGTAAATAGGATCATATATGTCAAAACCTGAGCATAGAGCCTGATACCCATCAAGTGCTCAAAAGTATTGGTCACTTAGGCAAACATCCATAAGAACAGGGAATATACACAGTCAAAAGGTACACAGGGCTGAGGCCAAGTGCTTTTAGTAAGGTTCTGACTCTGGAAAAGGAAGCTGAAATGAGGTACCCTGTGCATACTCAGCTTTGCCTATGCAACTCATTCCAATTCTAAGGAAAGTTCCATGGACAACATCCAGCTAGAGACAGAATATTAACTTTCCAATGCCCAGGACTGACCTGAATGTGAGAGCTTGAAGGAACAGGACTAAGTAGGTCTTGTATCCTAGTAAATTCACTTCTCACGCATCACTGCATCCTTTTTACAAATCACAGCTCCCAGTGGGACTGGGCAGAAAATGGCCTTGGCCCCAGAGAGCTCCACAGACTGGATGGTGCGGACCATAGCCTTGCTCTCCCTTTTCAGTGTCTCACAGCAAGTCATCTCAGAGAGTTCCCCAGATGACAAGGGACAGACATCTCACTTGGAGAAGCTGCAAAGAGGTTTGAGGGATAACTGGGCCCATTGTGGTAGGAACGTGCCCAATAACATAAACATTACTCTGGAAAAGCTGTGAAGTTTGCATTTTGGATCATCCTCTCAGTTCACAAGTATTCGCTTCATACTTGCTCTAACTTTATTCAGTAACCATTGTTTTTCTGCTCTTCTTCCTGCACTATTTTCAGGCCTGAACACATATGGATATGCATTTGTCCACTGAGCACATATTTATGGTGTGCTATGCATTGGGAAATTTGGTAGGACATTAGGAAGAAAAAGCATGACAACAGAGAAAAGCTAAACAAATGGATAACTCTTTGAGTCTTCAAATAGCAGAAAATCCAGAGCAAGAAGTTCCTGAGAGGATTTCACTCACTCTTCGAGAATATCCCTGCTCTTGAGAGGGTATAAAGAGATTTGGAGTGGAGCTAAGTTTTCTCGAAAAATAACCACTACAGACTTGGGAATACAGCCCATTAGCGGAGGCCTTCCTAGCGTGTATGAATCCTTGGGCTTGATCTTCAGGACCACACACACACACACACACACACACACACACACAGAGAAAAACACTGTTTTATGTGTTGTTTCTTTTTAATTACTTCTACAATTCAGAGATACAAATGAAACTTTAAAAGAACATAACTAATAGTTATAAAGCTAATGCCCATGTAACCATTATACAGGCCAGAAAGGGTCCCTCCTTCCCGCCCTGTGTCCTGCCCTGTTCACATCCTAGAATTCACTGTCCTGAACTACAAATCAGTAATTTTCTTGATATTTGACACAGATTTACTTCATGGTGTATATATTTCTAAACAATGGTTTAATTTTGCATATTTCCTGGGAGTTGTGGAGGAACGGGCTGAGGGGCCATCTAGCTGGCCAGGTATTTAATTCACATTTCAGTGATTCATAATAAAGGAGACATTAAGCAAGAAAACAAAGCTCATTCTTCATGTTCTGTGAAGCCCTCTTAAATTAAATCCCATTTCTTGGGATTCCTATTGCTCATAGCTGTGTGGGTTATTTCCAGTTCAGGAATATTGTAAGCAATGGTCTCTTGAGCACCCCTGTCCACATAAGACCTGGCACCTGCTGGTCATAGGGATGAGCTTCTTCATGTACACTAGATAACATCGAACTATTTACCAAAGTGGCCACGGCTTCACACGCTGCCCAGCAATGTCCCAGACCTCTTTTTGCTAATCATACCCACATCTGGTATTCACTGATAGTTGAGATTTCAGTCTGTACGATTGGTGATTGTGAAAGTGTACTCTAAGGCAGTTTAAACTGGCACCTCTCCAATTACTAATAAGCCTGACTGCATTTTTAAAATATTTATTTATTTAGCACAGGGTCTTGCTATGCAGCTCAGACTCATAATGATCCTCCTGGCTCAGTCTACTCAGTGCTGGGATTACAGGTGTGCATCAGCCACCATGCTTGGTTTCCAGTGGACAGCATGGTGTACCTGGGGTTCCGGGGCCGGCATGGCATGTGGTACTGGGGTTGGAATACGGGTTCTTATGCTTCCCAGGCAGGTGCTTAGACACTGCGCTAGCTCCCCAGCCCCGTGACTACATTTTAATAAGTCTATTAGGCACTGAATTTCCATCTATTGGTTTTTCAGGGTTTTTTTTTAAAGCTATATGTTAGATCTTGATCAGGACATAAAACCCCCAAAATTAAATCTAGAAATTTACTACACTAAGACTAATTCATGGGACTTCATAAAATTTGTTCTGAATTTCACCTACAAGGAAAAAGGGTGAATAATAAACATTTTTGAAAAAGAACAAAGAGACAAAATTACATCACACACCAACCTACATTACAAAGTTATAATTAAGATTTGAAAGCTACAGAATATGGATGGTGGCTCATAAATTTGTTTAGCTTATGGTAACTATATTCAAAATCAGCCTAAAAAAGGTCAAGATACAATCTCAAAGCAACTATTCGATCATCTGATAATAAATTCAGACCCTTATCACATACGCTCAGTGAAAATTATATACAGCTAGATTAAGTAAAAATCAATTAAAATATTGGGTAAAGTCATTTAAAATCTGGAGGTTAGAAGGTCTTGGTAAGAACAGATTCAAAGACAGAAGCTATGCAGTTAAAAGGACGAGGGGCTGTGAGAATGGTGGGGCGGCAGGTCCGTGGCTCGCGCAGGTGAGGCCCCACATTCAACTCCCAACTTTCCCCATCCCCCAGAAGGATGAGTAGTTTGAAGAGATTAGAACTCATTTATGTCCTACAAACGGCAAACTAAAAAGTAGTAAGTCATATTTAAGTGAATAACTTAAAATAAATAGGATACATAAGGATTTAAATATTTTGAAAACATAAAAGGCAAGACTTTTTCTCATAACCAATAAAGAATATCAGAGGAGCTAAAGGTGTTCACACCCAAAAAGGAAACGGGCAAGGAATGTGAACAGGAAATTTACAAAAAGAGAAATTCAATTTTAAGGTTACAGCTGGGCATTATTTTGGGAAAGCTAGAACTGGCTATGAGGCAGGGATGTGCATATTCCATGCAGCCCCAGAGCAAGTAGCCACCAGTGTGAACTTTCAGGAGGGAAACACATTCCTATCTATATCCTCTGACTAAAGAATGTTTTCTAAATTAATTAATTTTAATTTTTAATTTTTTCATGTATTTGGTACAGGGTCTACAGGTCTCACTACACAGCCTGGACTCGTAGTGATCCTTCTGGCTTTTCAGCCTCCCAAGTACTGGGATTACAGGCGCACACCATCACACGCAGTCTCATTTGCTGGCTCAGCATACCCTGAGGGCGGGGCCAGCACAGCAGGCCTGGGATGGAACCCTGACTCCTGAGTCTGCCTAAGCAGATGCCTTAAAACACTGAGCTGTCTGGCAATTTTTCTTGTTTGATAGGTGTTATGGTTTGTGTCTAGGTGTCCCCCCAAAGCCTCATGCAGTCTTGGGGTGGCTTCTGGAGTTTGTGATTGATCACTGTGGGTGTGGCTGTTGTGCCTGCCCTGGGGCAGGTAATTTGCATTACAATGTAAGGTAGGAAGAGAAGCTAGCTGCTTGAGCTGCTGTTCCTCCTCCCTTGGGCTCTTGCTCTTTGCCGCTGCCATGAAAGATTGCTTTCTGCTATGTGCTGCTCTGCGTTGGACCCACCTGAGTATGGACTGAAACCTCCAGTAACTGTGAGCTAAATAAACCTTTCCTTTCTTCATTTTGAGGGTGGGTATTTGTCCCAGCAATGAGTAAAAAGTAACTAAGACAATAGGGTTTCACTACGCAGCTGGGACAGCAGTGATCTTCCTGTGTCAGCCTCCCATCACTGAGATTATAGGCATGCACCACCATGGCCAGTTCTGGGGCCAGTATGGCATGCCCAGGGTTCCAGGGTCACTGTGGGCCAAACATACACCTTACACTTACCAGACAGGTGCTTATGCTGCCAAGATATTTCCCCAGCCAAAATTAATTAATTGTAATTGGCAAAAATTATGCATATTTATTATGTACCACATGATGTTTTACAATATGTATATGTTATGAAAAAGCTAAATAAAGGCAACTAATACATGCTTTACCTCACACACTATTTTTTATGTCAATGGTTAAATTTATTCTCAGTGATTTTTCAAGAACAAAACATATTCGTATTTTGAGTGAAAATTCATCCCAAAGAAATAATTGTTGCAGGTCATAATATTGCCAATAAGATTTTTGCTACAAAATTATACTTATTTCAAAATCAGAAACAATCTAATGTCCAGCAATAAGGGATGGTAAATTTGGGTACCACGCTCTAATCTGTAGGATCCGAGCCTTTAAAAATGACAGATACATGCACTAGTGTGGAGAAAAAAGCAGAGGGCGGTTGTGAAGCCCCACAGTCTGGGATCAGGGAAGAGCCCTTTCCTTGTGGCGGAGGCATGGTTATTAGCTTGATCCAAGGGGCAGCAGACAAGGGCAGTGAGCTAGAGTGTGGGTGCTGGCTCCCTCAGACCCCGCGCCCAGCTCTGCGATGGGCGCGTTTCCTACTACTCAGTCTGCTCATCTTTAAAGCAAGAGTGACAGAGGTTCCACTGAACTGCTTTCAGTTTATACGATTTGTATGCTTGGAACAGGGTCACAATGTCAAAAGGGCTCAGCCAACGTCCTCATCATACCATTACCATTTCACCCTCTCCTTAATATTCCACACGAGATGTTTCTAGATACGGGTTTAATCTCGTGTGGCCAATTGCTTGCTGTGTGGTTAGGATTAGATCTCCTTCTCCCTGGGCTTGAATTTTTAAATCTATGAAGTAAAAGTATGATAAAACCTGTTTCACAGGGTTATTTTCAGTGCTTAAGGATATAATGTGTTAAAAACTTAAAGTGTCTGAGACATAAACACTATGAGGTTTATTATTACTGTTATTAAGTTATGAAGGAAAAATTTAGTTTAAGGAAATTTAGTCTGATACAAACTTTTGAAAAAAATTATGTATGTGTATATATTTAGAAAAATATTTGAAGGAAACAATCTATTGGTAGGATAAATTTACTTTTTCTTTTACTTAGCATTTTATACTTTTTCCTAGTAAACTTGTTTGTGTGTGCGTGCACACACACACAACCACACTCACACACCTCTCTATATAGGATAAGGTGTTAATTGTGGAAACTCTGATCTGGATTATATTCACACAGACTGAAGAACAGAAAGAAGTAAGGAACAGAGGTATCAGTGCAGAGCAGGGTGCTAGAATACTATAGATTTCCAAAAGCAGAATACCCTTGGTGGGTAGAAGAAAGTAGCAATAATGCACTGGTAGACAAATCATCTTTTTATTTTGTCATGTAGCTGCTTAATAATACTCTTTGCACCTCGTAATAGTAGATATGGAACATTCATCTAATCTTCATTTCAGCATTTCAACCTAATTTTCTGTTCTTGATTTTTAGATTTCTATCCTAGTTAACTGCTAATTGGTATTGTACATAAAAACTATAAAATGGGTGGTAGTGATGCTTGATAGGTAGATTTTACCAAATTACTGAAAATATTCTTTTTAAAAAGAGAAATCAAGTGTATAATCCACCATTTCTATTATAAAGACTATTATCCCAAAATCAAAGGCGAGGGCAGTTTTAGACAAAGAGATAAGGAATCATAGTCAGACATTTAATTTAGAATAAAATAACTATTTTCAACATCTTGGCCTAATTATAATGGGTTAGAACAATTTAAGAGCCACAAACAATATTTTATAATATATATGTATATGTAATTTACAGATAGAGAAATGTTCCCATCATGTTTCTTTCCAGGAGAAGTTTGATCTCTGTAGTCACCAGATCTTGATTTAAATCTAAGCTTTCTAATAGCTATTAGTTTCAGCCATATAATCTTCTGATTATCTTCATTTTAAAACAAGTATAGTCTGCCTCATTGGGCTATTCAGAAAAATGCGTAAATTAATATTAAACATTAAACTCACAGTTTCAAAGAAAGATTTCAATTAACATTACCAGTTGTTAATTATAAAAGTGGGAAAATACATAGCTTCTTGCCTGGATTCCAATTTCCTAGTTCCATCTTATAAAAAGACTAGAAATGCCAATTTTGAAAAAATTGAATAATACAGATATTGTACTTAAAATCACTGGGGAGAAGAAATAAAGGTGGCCTGCCTTCACTCCTTTCACCATGGAAACCAGTGCTGGAAACCCCACATGCACACTTTCTGCTTTGGCTCCAAGAAAATAGCTCTTACTATGAAAACCTGGGGACTAAGCTCATCAGACCAGCAGGCTTGGATATTCCTTTTTGTCATCTGAATCCCATGGGTTTTAGGCAGAAAATAGGCTGAATCATATGTGTTCATTATTTTAGAATTATACAAGAGATTTATCCCCACAGCTGAAAATTGAATACTAAGAAATTTGCAGTTATTCAAATATCACACAAAATAAGGCTGATTTTCGTCCCATAGGTTTCTCTCTGTTGGGAAGTGAGGTGGCCCTGGATGTAGGGCTTCACCCCCTAGATATATGGGGGATAGAAAAGAATTAAAAAGAAAGTGGCATCACTCTTGCCTTTCATTTTCTAGTTCAGATACTGGGCCTGAGAGTTACTCTGATCACCGCTGGTGACACAATTCATTCTACCTCAAGCTTAATCCTACCAGATTGTACAGCAGCAGCACCTACCTTTACATCTTACTAACTAGGTAGAAATATAAATAGTGTTGTTCTTCCATCATCTACCAGGCACCAAGCGATATCTGACCTCCTGTTTTGCCTGGAGGGGGGACCCCCTCAGAACCACTCGGCCTAGGACCTAATAAACCTGAATTCCTCTTGCTTATCACAATGGTTATTCTGGATACTTTCAAATTCAGTCCTTTGAAAACTAATTTCATAACTGAGTTAGCTCTTGACCCCTCCACCCCGTGGTTTAGCTCCTACCACCTCGGGGTAGAGACAGAGGACTCATGGTTCTCACACAGCTTTTTCCAGTTTTTTTTTTGTTTTGTTTTTGTTTTTAGAAGACTTTGTTTATTTTAGGACACAGAAGAGGAATAGAGGCTGAGAGACCCTAAACAATATGTGCCCAAGCCACTGGGTGGGCAGAGGCTGCAACTCCTGCCTACCCAGCAGAATTACGTGAAGAACTTTCAAACCAGCAGATGTCCTGGTTTCCATCTTCAGAGGGTCTGACCTGAGACTGCTGGTGTCCCCAGGAAGCCATGCTCACAGCACCTCCTCTCTCCCAGGTCCCAGGAGGCACCTTGCACTGGAGGGGCCCTTGGGAAGCAGGCTGCATCATGCAGCTAGTCCCTGTAACACACTCCTACTCTGGGTATATTTCTATCTCCTGCTCTGAAACCTATCAGCTCTCCATGGCCCTCTAGAGTCCGCTAGTTCAGAGGCCGGTCAGAGAGCCCAATACCTAAGCCAGCATCTAGCCTGGAGTGGAATGGGAGCCCTCTTTGCAGAGACCTCATCCTTTACAGATTATTATTTGAGATCTGACTCACATGCCTCTCACAATGGGGAGCAAAGAGGATGAACACCCTCTTTCTGAGTACCCCTAAAAGGTGACAATCCTCTGTATATTTTGGGATGTACACAAGGTAGGCCAGTCAAGTTATGTCTTTGCAGAGAGTACACCCTCTGATAACTAACTTAGAATTCATAGTTGCTAGGTTACTACAATTAAGCATGAGGGCTTGCTGGTAATTTTACACCTAACCCTATACTGTTAGCCCTTACATTTTAAATCATGAAGACACAGCCTATACTTTGTCTTATTACAAGATTACACACTCATTTCACCTTTTTGAGGCAAAATTTCCTCATTTTTTGAAAGAAAAACAAATGGGGTTGTTTTGTCATAAAACTGAAGCTAAAATTTTCACTGGGAACGTACTTGGTACAATTTACAGCCCTATGAATGTACTGTAGCCTTATGTCAATTAGAAATACAATCATCCTTTGGTCTCTTATTACTATGCTGTGTATTATTTCTTCCTTTTCAATTTTCTTTTATGTGTTATCTCCTCTCACTAACACACAAATTTTGTGAGGTGAAGACCTTACATGTGTTGCTCACTTCTGGGTCACCAGCGTCTGGAACATTACCGAGCACACAATTACTGGACACTTACTGAATTAATTAATAGCTTTTTGTTGGGAAGCAGAGACTGTCTTAATTAGCTCAAGAAGGAATATTTTGAAAATGCTTAAAATAGCCCTGCTGTAACAAGATCACCCTGCGCATTTGCTATTGGAAATCCTGAGGCTCACCTCACACCCATGAAATCAGAAGCTCCAGGTAAAATCAGAAGTGAGGTCTTTCTCTCTAGCTGCCAAGTCCCTACAGATCTGACCTGCAGTAAATGGCACCCACAGGAATGAAACCAAAAGCTTTGCTCCTAGCTCACAGTGCTCGCTCAGGAAGCCCGTACCCATGTAAGGCTTGGTGCCAGCCACGGTGGTGATCCGCATCTCCTTGGGCAGCAGAGCTGCAATGTTGAAATCTGTGATGTGCACATGCCCTGGGGAGACAGAAGGAGCACAGAGAGTGGTGAGTCCCATTCAACCAGCTGTACAATCATGTGTCTAATTTTAGGCTAGAGGCATCTAAAAAGTTAGTCTCTAAGTCTTTGTGTTCTAGTTGAATGGGGTACAGGCAAAAAGTTTATAACATCTCCAGGGCCAGTGTGTTCTTAAATCAGCAACCCTTCAGGAGCCAGGACATGATATCTTGTGATACATCACCAACTGTTAACTTGTAGTTCAACCTCTAGAATTTGGGATTTCAGAGTTTATGCTCTGACAATTCTACTTAGGCAATTGTGTCTGTTGGCAACATTTTAAGTTCTTTAACCTGTGACTGTCATGAAGACACAGCTAAGAGCTATTCCACATATCAAAATTCTAAGCCTGTCCTACAGGATCTTAAAAAAAACACAGGCAAAATCCTATCAGCAGACACAAGTGCAGATACATATATTTTTGGCCAAGAAAGAGTCTTTCTTCTCCTACTTTTTCTGAAATGCTATTAGAATGAGTGGATGGGCAGTTTAGGTGTCTTCATTGATCATCAATAAAGTAACCAACCCCCAGGTAAAACAGGAGGAAAACATCAGCTTTTGTGGTAAAGGAGCTGAATGAAGAGCACAGGGCTAGGGGCCAAGAGACCCGGGCTCTGCCCTAAATTCTGTCCCTGACACATAGTAGATTCTCCATCATTTTCCAAGGTTGACCCTAAATCGACTTTTACAAGCAAAAGAAGGGATAGAAGAGATGATTGTTAAGGTCTCTCTGGACTCAAACACTTACTGCTATTTTCAACAGCAGTGTGGTATGGGCCTAAGAAGTCAATGCAGCAGAGAATACACCCCACAAAGTGCCCTAGCTCCTCCCATTTATAGCTGGAAGACAGAAAAAGGCAGTACAGGAAGTCTAGGCAGTGAGCCTGTTATGTTAGCCACGGCACAACAGCCACCTGCTTCTGGGCCTCTTGCAGTGTTAGTGTTTCCATCTGCATGTTCTGTGGTTTTACAGGGACAAGGCTGTAGTGGAAACACCTGGGTCTTTTCTCAGGACCACTGTCCACACTCACCACATCAAACATCACTGTAGGCTTCCTGAGAGCATCCACTACTAAGGATAAATCTCACTACCTTCACTTCCAGGGTTCGACTTCATGTACAAAGTGTTTTCTTTTTATGGGATAATATTTTGAAGGGTAAAAGCTTTATTCATTTAACTAAACGTTAAGGTAGTCTCACCTGAAGGGAACCAACAGATGATTTTAATAATTTTCGCTATCATACTGCAGATTGTCTTGGGGATTGTTCTCCTCTTTCTGTGGTTCATGACCAAAGCACCATATCAGTGATTCAACAGGTTTGAGTGAATTAGCTGGTCCTGATAACTTTGTGGCTAAGCACTGTTCTCTGGAGATAGACTACCGTACATGGGCTCCAGTCCAGGTTCTGCTACTACCCAGCTAAGGTACCTTGAAGAGTCACCTTCAAGCTCTGATAATAACAATCTTTTCATAATATAATCTTAATGGGAAAATTAATGAAATAATACAATGAGTGACTTGACACAAGATTTGGCAGTAGATATTCAATTGCTGATATTTATCATTATTAGAAACTCCAGTGTAGTTTTGCAAACTGCATATGCCTGGGCTTTACTCCTTTAAGACTCTGGCAAAGCTGATAGAAGAGTCAGGGATTTGCATTAAAAACAAACTTCATGGCAGGGGAGATAGCTTGGTGGTCTAAGTGCCTGCCTGGCAAGCACAAGGGCCCAGATTTGATCCCTGATATCACATACTGTGCTGGAACCCTGGGCATGCTGTGATGGTCACTGGGCATGATGGCACATGCCTGTAATCCCAGTGCTGGGGGCCGGGGGGCAAGGAGGATCACTATGAATCCAAGCTGTGTAGGGAGACCCTGTACCAAATAAATAAATAAATAATTTTTAAAAACCTGACCAACACCAAAGAAGGGAATAACCCTTGAAGCAACTAGTTGTTTTGTTTTGTTTTATGTGCCTAGTAAAGACTGGGGAATAGTATGTGAGGTCCACGATCTACTCTAGGTCTCTGCTCTTTAATCTAAACAATGAATTCAAACTTCAGAGGATCATGGACAGTGACCCTAACCCCCCAGCCCTCTAGACACCACCAGACTTTGCTCAGCCTGGTGACATCTGCAGACCTACTTTCTGTGCCGTGAAAGTGAGTTTGAGCACTAGTTCACAGAGGAGGGGCTGTCTCCTGCTGATTGAAGGTGGCAAGAATTCTCTACAAGGAGTAGGGATGGCTATTGCCATAAACACAGGCCATGAGTGACCACTGGAACAGGGTTTCTCAACCTTGGTACTACTGAGGGCTGCCTGGTGCACTACTGGATATTTAGTAGCATCTGTGGCCTTGACCCACTGGGTTCCAACAGCGCCTCCCAGCCCTAGCTGGAGCCTTCCTGATTAGCAGTGTCTCCAGGCATTGCCAAAATCCCCCAGCAGGAAGAGGTAGTGGAACAAAATCCCCCACAGTGGAAAACCACTATCTTAGTGTAAAGTTTTTCAGGCACAAAACTAAAAACTTCCTGATCTAACACCCCGTGAGGTGTTCTTGACTTTCCTTTTTGTAAATCTCCATGGCTTGAGACAGAGAATCACATTAAAAGTCTGAATCCATCTTACCAAGTCATCAAATTCAGCTGTCATTGTTCTCATTATCCACACTTTTTCTCTCTGTGCATGCACTAGGTGAGGATCTTTCTCATCAACATAATACTCTAGGGCACAATAACAAATCAGTTGGTGCTCTCCTCAGCTTTTAAAGCTCTCCCCATTTGCAAGTGCTAAGAGTATGGCTAGCACAGCTTGGCTTGGTGTTTGTTAAAAATGTGTATCGTTGGGCACTACTTGGGACTAATGAATCTGATTTCTGGGGGAAGGGGGTTAATATTCTCTATACTATCCACTTGGACTCCATAAGGGGAAGCTGCTGAAATGGCAAGCTGAGTTCTTCCTTACCTCCTACACTGAGCGTTTTGCCTCCTCTTATGACAAAGGACGACATTAAGAAACCTATATTATGGACAATTCCATAATTGTCATGCTATGTCACGTAGACATTTTTGCTCATCTACATGCAGTGTTTATTTCATGAATAATTTAAGAAAGCCCCAAGAATTTTAGATACTACAGAATTGATAGAATTGGATGGTGCACTTAAATTCTGTAGAATATGAAAATATATTATCAGGATAGTTGGTTATGATTCATCCAACATCTGATACCACCCTGGCTCTGAGCTAGCAAATGAGACATCCAGGGAAACCAATGTCAGACATGCTCTGAATTAAAAACATTTTCTAACAAATTCTGATGTACAAGGAATGTTCATTCATGTTATGCAAAGATTGTTCCATATAACAACCATCTCCATTAAATGTCAATATTTTCTGATGATCATGAATAATATGACTCCACAAGAATAAAATTAAGTTTCTGTTAGTGAATGGTGCTGAGTTATCATCCATGTGTTCTATCCCAGGGTACACTTAGAAGGACAGGCAAGGGCACTATATCAAAACATAGGCAGCTACTCTTTAAACCAGCCAGCATCCTCTTAGAAGTGTCCTGGGCAATGGCCCAGAAGTGGGACATGTGACAGAAAATACAAGAGACTTCAGATATGAGCTCTACATAGAGGATCACATTGGCCTGGGCTCCAGAAGGCAGGCACTGACTTGGGGGCCGGAGATTCTCACACAAGCAACTTCCTAATGAGCTGGAGGAGACGGGTCACAGTTTCTCACTTAAGCAACATTCACTGTGGTCCCTGAGCAATGTCAGAAGTCCTAGTTTTTTAGAACCTAAATAAATAAAAGTCACTTCAAAAATGATTTTGTTTGCCAGAATGAAATCCCTAGGATAATAGAGAATGACTCAATAATTTTGTGGGCTTGTTTCTATCCTATTCATATACACTCTTCCTAGGGCACTTTTTCTTCCATAAACAGAAATAATTGCCAAATTTATTTCAGGATGGCAGTATAAAGCATAAAAGCTTCCTTGAGTCCATTGTTCAAGCCAGGAGCTTGAAAGTGAAAGGAGTCACAGTAAAAACACCAGAAAACAGACACGGACTAGAACTGTGTCTCAAACAGGTTGGGATAACAGCTCACACTTCCTAAACTGACCCCAGTCCCAGCAAGAATAAAAATGCCACCCACTGTGACTTTAGCCCCCTCTACACATGAAGTAAGGCAGAAGAGGTCCCTGAAAGTAAACTTAAAAGATGAAGAGTTAAGTGAAGTTGTGACAACATATGATCTAACAAGTACACAAACATATGGTGTATCACTTCTAAAGCTGAAATGATTATTTGGGAAACATAAGTAAGTATCCAGCTTTCACAGACCATCTGACACAGATACATGCTAGCTTAGACAGACACATAAGTCAAGTAGTCCAAGCAGCCTTCATCAGAGCAGAAAACAACTTGGGAACTGCAGTGACTGGTCACTTTATGACAGACATTGCATCAAGCAGTTTATAACTATTATGTCAGTCGTTTCTTACAGTGACTTTAAGAAGAAAGTGCCTTTTTGATCGTTGAAGAAGCCAAGACACAGAGAATGTTTAGAAAAATCACTGCAACTCTCAGAGCTAGTGAGTGGGTAGACTGGGTTTTGAACTAAACCAAACTGGCTGCAGAATCCATGCCCACCATGTTTCTCGTTCAGGGTAGTGTCTAAGTGTGGCTACAGCTAGAGATTAATTGATCTCTTCACCCTTTTCCTCATCTACAATCAGCAAGTTGCCAATAAATAGTGAGGAGGAAGAAACTGGGTGATGGAGGGGCATGAAGCCCTCACAGTAGAGGCAAGATGAAACATGTCTGAGACCCAGACTAACACGCCGTTTTTGAAGTGGAAGATAAATATGGAAAATGTTTGCTTATCATGGTCTATGTGCCTCTGCTCAGGGGCTGTATGCATGAAGGAGCAGCAGGTGCTGTGGTCAGAGGCACCAGGCCAAGGGGGCAGGTGAGGCCTAAGCCCCAACCTACTTCTTCTTGACCAGCTGTGAGCTGTCAGAATGTTCTGCCTCAGGCACAGAGCACTTTTCCTCTTAGTTGCAACCTAAGCACATTTTCTTTGCAGCCTGCCTCTGTAAGGCAGTTCTCTATGAGTTTAAAACTTCATAGAGTTTATTTAAAGCTGAGCAGGAGAGGAGCCTGTCTTCTACCTACAGCAGGAATAGCTGGCACTCCTGTGAAAGTCACCTTCACGCTGAGTCTCACCACTGCTCACCTTCCTAAGATTAGGAAATCTGTTCACAAATGTCAGAAGCAGTAAATGTAAAAAAGAAATAAGACATTAGAAAAAGTGGAAGAAATCTTTTCAGACAGTCCATAAATAAATAATGGTCCTGAGCTTTGAGATTAGAGGTCATACACAAAAGTGTTTCCCAGCATTCAGCCCAGGCAGGGACTGACAGGTCAGGTTTAAAACTCAAGGAATAAATGACGAGCAGTGGATGGGACTTGGGTTTCAAGCCCACTTGCAAATCCCCATTATAAAAACTGAATGAGTAAGGAGGTTGGCAGGTTTCTACAGCTTTCTATAGCAAGCAGATCTTGGTGTGCCTATAACGTTGATAATGTGCTGGCTGTGGCCTCCGTAGGGACTTCCCTGATGCAGCACCCATGGATCCATCTGTAGATGAAAGTAAATACTAGGGAGGACTGTGTGTATTTAATCATTTGTGAAAAGGCTTGCTCCCAAGGATATCTAATCAGTGTTTCTTAAGCCTAAGGCATTTACTTACCACTTTATGATTATTGCCATTATCTGTGTATCAATTTTATACCCAGGCACCACACAGACTATTGCTATTTATTTCATATTTTTCTTTAAAGTCAATGATTTAACTAAAATTTTAATAGGAAACTTGGTATCTTTTGTGTGAATATAAAGTACTTTGCCTTTATAAGAAGCAAAGCATAAAAGTGGATGAATAACAAAATAGTAGCATTATATTGATGGATAGATACTATTACCTCCCTTATGTTGCAGTACTGAGGCCTGCTCTATCTCTATGAAGGAAAAGAAGGGATTTATGTAATATAGATATTACAAGGGCTGGGGAGGTAGCTTGGCAGTCTAAGCCCCTGCCTGGCAAGCACAAGAACCCAGGTTCAATTCCCAGTACCACATGCCATGCTGGCCCTGTGCTGAGCCAGCTACCAAAACCAGGCACAGTGGTACATGACTGCAATCCCAGTGCTGGAGAGGCTGAGACAGGAGGATCACTAAGTCTGAGCTATGGAGCGAGACCCTGTACCAAATTTTATAAATAAATAAATAAATAAATAAATAAATAAGTAAAAAAATGGTATTACAAAAAAGCACTGTGATGGTTTTTAAAAAGAGAAATGCTAGTCAAAGAAAATTAGGTAGAGAATAACTTTCTCATTGTTTAAGTTCAAGGCTACTTGAGAGTATATTTTTGTACTATGCAACTACTATAAGTAGCTAAGTTACCCCATATAGTTTCTCCCTCCTACCCTTAAGATAGAGTTTATACTCACAGCTCAACTAATCAACTTCTTTCATGTGCAATAGTTATTTGATGGAGATAGTGAGCTTGTTCTACATTCATGTCATGTAATTAACTGCAAACAAGCCATTTACTTACCATGTTCATCAAGTAAAATATTGTCAGGCTTCATATCTCTGGGGAAATAAAACAAGAGAAAGTTGTCCATAAGAAAACAGACAAACAGAGCTGATGGATCAAGGCTAGCCTGCTCACGAGTCCTAATCAGCACCTAACACCATACCTGCGCTCCTCACACTCTCGGTTCTCAGGCGAGCCTACGAGACAGTTGCCATCCATAGCCCCAACTTGTGGGTAAGAAGCCTGAGATTTTACCCCAGGCCCCAGAGTTAATAAATGGAAAACATGTGGTCTCTCTGTTCAAAAACTCAGACTGCATGCTGTACCGGCCCCACCCCCGGGCACACTGAGCCTGCAATGGAGTCCAGGCGTGGTGGCGCACGCCTGCAATCCCAGCACTAGGGAAGCAGAAAACAGGAGGCTCACTACGAGTCCGAGCTGCACAGTGAGACCCTACACACACACACACACACACACACACACACACACACGCACACACACAAAAAAAAAACCTTAAAGAAATAAACTCTCAGACTGTTAGTTGCTGTATCATATCTAAGCATGTAAATTGTGGTCCATAAGATTATATGAAGCATCTACACTGCCACAAAGTAGCATTAATAATATTAATTGGAATTTTCCTGTATGACTCCAAAGTCTCACACATTATATAAAGGTTCAAGACTTTATAAAATAGGGAAATACAGACTATATATATTGTAATTATATTGAAAACTTGTAAAACTTCGGCATTCTTTTAGGATGACGGTTCAGTGCCTCCAGTTGACTCATAACTAACCCTGCAGAAAAGGGATAATAGCATGTATTAGGGCAGAGCACAGTGACCACAGTTAATAATATCATACACTGGACATCTGCTAAGAGAATGGACTTCAGGTGCTCTCACCACAGAAAACCAAGGCAATCATGTGTCAAAACGGGTACATTTTTGACAGTGTTCATTCCATCACATACAAACCTATCAGTGTAGCTTATTATACACTGCTAACAACGTCGTTTTTTTAAAAGCGAAAACACTAGTCAAATAAAAGTGAAATTTCCTGTATTTCCAGCACTTTGGAGGCTGAGGCAGGAGGATGAGAAGTAAAGAGTACTGCTTGGATAACTTAGTGAGACCCTGTAGGCAAATAAAGAAAAAATTAAAATGGGCATGTGTATAGAAATTGGTGCCAAGGCCTTGGGTTCAGCTTCCATTATATAAACAAGGAAGCAAACAAGCAAATAGTCCAGGGAGTCGAGAAAAGCCACTGTCTTCTAATGAAGGGAGTAGTTCGTTAGTGAGCAGAGTTGTTGAAGGTCTTATGAAATAAATACCATACGCCCCCTCCTCATCAGAGAGCAGCGTGCTGGGCTATTACAGCCTCCCCACTCAAACTTTTCACTGCCCTTCCTAATGTACCATTAAAGCCCTTCAGTGGAGATTCACAGATGCTATTAGGGCAGAACTTCTGAAACAGGTTTTGCGAACACATTTTCAGCCTTGTCAAGTGGCTTTTATGTTGCTAGAATAAAAAGTGACCTTAACCTCTGTTATGGTTTATATCTAGTTGTCCCTCCAAAGCCTCATGTAAGTTATGGGGCAGACGACAGCTGGAGGAGCAACGAGTGGCTTGAGGGGCGGGACCAGAGGACCAGGGTGGGGCCTGAGGGCGGGGCCAGAGAGGCTTGAACTGTTGAAACTGGCTAGCCTGTGCTTTCTCAGCAATGTGGAGAGGGTCATCCTGGTCACAGCAGCGCCCCAGCCTCTCCTTCAGTGTCTTGAAACCTCTAGTAACTGTGAGCTAAATAAACCTTTCCTTCTTTCATTTTTGAGTGTTGGGTATTTGTCCTAGCAATGACAGAAGAGTAACTGAGACAACCGCTGACAGATAAGGCTGCTCCCGCCACCCCTTTTTTTCATGATATCGGGTTACAGTTGCTTGGCTACAAACAGAACTAAGTGCAAGCTGCATCCAACATCCAGGTGACATGGATTACCTTGTAGGTTTTGGAAACCTTTTCATCAAGCTTGTTAGGTTATTAAAACTATTTCTTGGGGCTGAGGAGATAGCTCCATGGCACAAGCACCTTCCTGGCAAGTGCAAGGTCCCAAGTTTGATCCCCAGTACTGTTCCTTTTTTTTTCTTTTTTTACCATAATTTTATTGATAAACAAATAGCAATGAGACAGTTTCAAATCAAATTGGTAGGACAGTTACGATAATTAACACATTGCGTCAGTACTGTTCTGGTCGTGGTGGAACATACCTGTAATCATGTCTGTAATCCTCAGCACTAGGAAGGCTGAGATGGGTGGATCACTGGGAGTCTGAACTATGTAGCAAAACCCCATATCCATTTTTTTCTGGATCCATAGACTACTCATCTATACATGTGGGAAATTTTTCCCTAGTGCATGACACAATTTACTAAAAAGAGTATTATCAACTGCAATTTTAATTTCAGTTTCTGTGGCAAAGTGCTATCATAATATTGTAGGTTCTAGCCCAATCTCTTGCACAAATTCCATTCAGGAATCATCAAGTCCAAACTCATGCATGAGGCATAAAAGCCCTATCAGAATGTTGCTCTGTGCTTCGGCATACAGACGCGCCTGGGGTCCTCAAATGCTCCCCGTGTCTCCTCACTCCTCAAGAGGTGCTGTTTCCTGGCCTATGTCACCCCCTCTCACTACTGCAATCAGACAACCCAGATTCTCCCTTGACCTTGTAGTCCAGATGCTGCTTCTTACAAGGACATATCAGTGACCTTCCACTGCTAGGCCAAATGACCCTGCTATGTGTTCTCACTGCTCTTCCACCATGACAGGCATCACATGTATGCTCACTGTTTCTTATCACACTTATGTTCTCAAGTCCCTTGACGTTAGCGATGGCATCTTGGTTAGTATCATATTCCATCACTTGGATCCACAGCACTTGGGGGTCCCTAAACAACATGCAGAGTGATTCTAGAGCCCTCAGAAAGGCAGATCTGGAAGCATAGACTAGAATGCTACTGCATCCAACCCAGCCTCCCTACAGCCTCAAGCTCGAGATTAACCAAGTATTGGGCCCTTTCTTCCTCTTTTAGTTTTGAATCCAGTGAGCATCAAAGGAAAAAGCTGAGTGTGGCACAACCCACACCAAGATTCCTTGGCCTAAATTTATGAGGACTTGCTGGGGGGAATGAAGGGCTGTTGATTTGATGTTTTATGAGTTTACTTTAAGTCTCTGAACATTATTTTCCTTGTTTTTAGAATTTACACAGCACTGAGCCTACTAAACTTCCCAGAACTACCTTGAAACTTAGGGAAATGGAGCACAGAGAGGGAACAGTTAATTGTGAAGCTTCTTACTTCAAACCTTTTGTTCACTCATTCAGCAAATGTTCATCCACCATGGTAAGTCACTGCTCTTAGATAACATAAAAATAAATGAAGCACAGTGCTTTGGGGCTAGGAAGATGAGGAAGCTTCATCAGGAGCCACGCCATAAAGGTATAAAGTGATAAGGTGGCAAGTTCATTGTAAATGCAAATTTAGGGGAAAATATGAGAAAAATCCAATAAAAACGTAAAACAAGTGAATTTGAGACACATAAAACAAACGACATAATCTTAGATTTATAACTACACAGTTTCCCTGGAACATAACGAGGTAACTACAGAGAAGATTATTGTCACTAGGGGAGACTGAAGTATGGCAAAATTGTTTACCTATGTATGGGAAGGAAAAATGAACAGAAATCCAGTGTGCTATATTAAAAGTACTACTAGAGCAAGTTGAGATTTTCCAGTGCAGAATTTTACCTCCATTTCCTTCCTCTGATATCAATTCAGTTTTTCCAAGTAACTTTAAATATGAAATAACGTGTTCTAAAACGATTTTTTTATTCAAGGCTGGAATATAGTTTAAACTGGTGGCTAGAAAGCATCAATATACTTCAGAATTACCTGCAAAGCTTTGAACAATGAGTATTCTCCAGCTCAGCCACACCCTAAACATTAAACTGTCTACAGACAGAACAGGAATCTGTCCAAGACCAAACACTCCTCTAAGGCATCTTGACATAAAGTCATGTTCAGAAATCAGGTACTGTCCAAATCCAAAAATGCCAGCCTGATTTAAAATTATAAAGTTCTTGACACATTATCTATGAATGAATGAACAATAGCAAAAGCGCAACCCTTACATTCACTGACACAATATTTTGTTAAATCATTTACAAAAGCCTTTTATAGACTATATAGTCAATATGATTGAAATATACATTGGATGTTTACATTTTACAAAGGTTATTACAGTAAAAGACACACTGCCATTAATCCTCCTCAAAGCACACTTTGGACGCATGTATCTCACTGTTCTTGGCCCTGTCTCTAGCGATTCTGGGAATCTTATTTCATTAATGTCTTCAGTTGTGCTGTCATGGTGGCCTCAGTGGCCTGACTGCTAAAAGCATTTGCATTTCATTGTCATTTTGACACTGGGGCGGAGCCAAGTTACATGGTGCCAGATCTGGAGAGAAAGGTGGCTGACAATGGACTGTAATTTTTTTATTAATCTTATTGAGAAACAAATAGCAATGTGACAGTTTCAAAACAGGTTAGTAGGGCAGTTACAATAATTAATACATTGCATATTGTCGTCCTCATAGTAGTCATTTATAGTACAAGATGGAGACATGATATCCTGTCCAAATACTATTAGTACAAATCTTTCTTCTCATTGAATTAAGAGAAAGTAGTTGTATATCTATCCTAACTATTTTGTATATACAGATACAAAATGGTCCTTCATTTACATCCCCTTTTTTGTTTAGTTTTGTCAGAGATGTGTATTCCATTGCCATTTAAATATTGTAGGTGCATGAATTCAGCAAAATAATCCAATATAGTCCAGTAATCCATAACCGTAGTGGGTTATCTTTAGGACTGGCAATGTCAGAAATAATTGACTTGAACTTTTTAAACCTCAGCATATTAATATAGCTTTACTTTTTATACCTCATTTTTATACTTTTCTCCTGGATGGTTAAGACCAAGATAAAGCAAGA